CGAGTTCGGAGAACCCTCGCCTAAATTTTGTACAAAGATAGTATCCCGAAAGATACTTGTGCACCAACATTATTTTTGTGATTCGATTCAATATGGCTGGCCGACGCCCAATTTTCATGTAAAAGTGTTAAATCGTCATTGTCATGATCAGAGCTGTTTCTCGGAGATGACTTGGCCAATTTGGATCAAAGTTGGTATGACGATCATACATATTGGGTTATAGTTGCATGTAATATTTGTTCTGTGATTCAAACTATTATGGCTGACTGGTGGCCATTTAGTTTTTCATGATACCCATACCTACTTTCCCATGAATGCAATGAACATTTCTGTTAAAATTTTGTACCAAGACAGTATACCAATAGATACATCAACATGAACATTATTTTTTTGTAATTTGATTCAATATGACTGCAAATGTGTATGAAAGGCTTGTGCATTTATTTTGTGAATTCTGCTTTTTTTGTTGTAAAAATACACAAAAAATAATTATTGTTACACGACTGGAACATTTGTTGGGTGATTTACTTCAAACTTGACGCATGGAACTGGGAGCAGCCACTGGTGATGCTGTATACAATCATTTAACTTATTGAGGCATACCAACACTAACGCCAGCTTCAGTGTAAAAAGAAAAAAATGGTGAGCAGTTTAGTATAATAGAAAGCTTCAAATAACCACAATAGACGAAGTGGTCAAGACCGAATATACATTATTCTGGCATTTCATAATAAATGCTTTCTATTAACAATTGCGCTTTAAAATGGGCCATTCCAGTTCATATCTGCACCCCCTGTTGAAGAGTTTGCGTGTTAGGGTATAATTTCCATGGGTGTATAAGTCATACAAAGTTTTATTTCCAAATCACCATTCACCATACAGTAATGGAAATCCAAAACTATAGTTCCTACTTATGGTGTTGATGAGTTCCTTTGTGACACCATACAGAGTAAGATTTCCAAACATAACCTTCATCATATGCTAATTTATCAAGTTCAACATTTTATATCTGATAATGGGAATCCAAACTAGTCCTGATTCACGGTGTTGATGAGCTCATTCATCCCACCATCATTATCTAATTTCAGTAATAACTATTTCATACTGACCCAATACAGTCAGAATTCCAAGTTTTTTT